AATATATAAATATATAATATAATATAATATAATATAATATTAATATTATATTATATTAATATATTATTTTATTATATATATTATATTATATATTATTATATTATATTAATATTAATATAATTATATTATTATTATATAATTAATAATAATATATATAATATATATATATTATATATATTATATATAATATATAATAATATATATTATTATTATAATTATATATTTATATATATATTATATTATTATATATATATTATATATTATATTATAATTAATTATATATATTATTATTAATATAATATTATACTATAATATAATATAATTATTATTATATTATATTATAATATATAATAATTATATTATTATTTTTATTATTAATTATTTAATAATATAATAAAATAATATAATAAAATATATATAATTATAATTATATTATAATATAATAATTCTGAGGTATTATATTATATTATATTATATTATATTATATTATAATTATATTATATTATATTATTATAATTATATGGAGTATTATATATATAGTATGATATATAATACAATATATAATATAAAATATAAAATTTTATATTTGTATATATATATTATATAATGTAATATGTTATATATTATTATAATATATATATAATATAATATTTAATATTTAATATTTAATATATAATATATAATATATAATATATATATATAATATATAATATATAATATTTTTGGTTTTGTTTTTATTTTTATTTTATTTAAATAATATATATTATATTGTATTAAATATTAGGTTATGAGTTTTTAAAAATATCATACATATAGTGTTTAATATATGTATATTTATAAATATAAACATATATTTTTTTATATTTTTGTTTTAAATCTTTTATAGTTTTTTAGATACATATAATTTAATTTTATTCTCATGGCTGAAGTTGGTCTCACTGATCTTCAATTATTTCCAGAGCAGGACATTTCAAAATTCGGTTCAACCCAGCTCCAGGTGATGCCATAGCATCTTCACTTGCCATGGGCCTGTTCCTGGCCTGTATTCAGACAGCAATGACCTCACAAACACCTACACAATTCTTGGTCTGACAGCTCCTCAATCACGAGTGGTCTCACAGGTACAATGCATGGGCCTTGCCCTGACCTATCAGCTACTTGATCACCAATGACCTCCCCACAGACCTACACAAGCCACGTGCCTCAGGCACCAGGGTCCTCCCAGCATCTAGCACAGGCCGTGTTTGCTCTCGGCCTGTCAGCTACCCAGGCACCACTGGCATCGCAGGAACAATCACTTGCCATGGGCCTGCTCGTGTCCTATCCGATCTTCAGCTGACAGTGACCTCACAAGCACAGATGATCTATTGGAAGATGTCAGAGTCCCTGCCCATGACAGGGGGTGGGTGCTCATGCTCAGCTGGCTGTTGACCAACATCCCCAGGTGCTTTTCTGTTGGCATCTGTCCAGACACTCTTCTCCAAGCCTATGCTGCATGGGATTGTTATGGTCCAAGTGCAGGAGCCGGCACTTAATCATTGTTGAATGTCATGTGATTGGACTCAGTTCATCAATCTAGCCTTTCCAGATGCCTCTGAAAAGCTTTCCTTCCTCAAGAAGATCAACTATCCCAACTAACTTGTTATCATCTGCAAATGTACTAGGGGTGTACTTGATCCTCTCAGTCAGATCATCCACCAAAATAGTAAACAAAGCTGGACCCAGTACAGAGGCCTGGGGAATGCCACCCACGACCATCCACCAACTGGATTGATCTCTCTTCACGCAGACTCTTTGAGCATGGCCATCCAGACAGTTCTTCAGCCAGCAAACTGTACACCTATCCAAGCCATGAGCATACGGATGGGTTGTCATTCTGCAGGGCTGCTGCTACTGAGTCCACACTGAGAAGATGTACCTCCTTCTATTAGGCTTTTTGTGATGCCTTGTGCTCAGTCCTTTCAAACCAACTAAGCATGAAGCTGGTGCTTGTGATGAGCTGGTTCTCAGCTCGTGTTCCAGTTACTTGCTAGCATGTATCATTGTTGTTGAGTTTGTACAGCACTGGCATTCTTGCATTCCCGTGTGTCTCTGTTTGCTTGAGTCTGCATTGTCAATGGTAGTTCAGGAATACTGGAGGGGTGGCTGCGGGGAAGCATGAGGTTGCATCTGTCAAGGTGGGACCTCGGTCAGCATTCACAGTGCAGTGACTCAACTGTGACACAGACAGGAATTCTATCCTTTGAGGGAATCCCAAAGGTAATTCCTTCTTGAAGGGTGATGCCATCCTGAGTCGTGTCCTTGACTGTGCAGCATCTGTCAAATGGCTGATATAAGTTCTCCTCAAAAGAAAGTCCCTATCGTGAGGGGCTGTCTAGAGCTGGGCTCCTCTCCACAGTTCTGACACAGTCTTCTCTTGCAGGGGCTCTCCAAGGGCTGCAGCCTCCTTCAGGCCACATCCACCTGCTCCCACATGGGGTCTCCCATCAGCTGCAGTGTGGAGATCTGCTCCAACATGGTGCACCACAGGGGAACATCTTCTCCAGCACCTGGAGCAGCACCTTACCCTCTTTCTTCACTGACCTTGGTGTCTGCAGGGTTGTTTTCTCTCACTGCTTCTCAATCTTCTCTCCCAGCTATTCCCTCATGTCATTTTCAACCCCTTTCTTTAAAAAGCTCTCACAGATGTACAAACAGCATTACTCATTGGCTGAGTTTGGCCAGCAGCATGTCCCCTTTGGAGCCAGCTGGAAGTGGCTCTTGTCTAAGAAGCGGCAGCTTCTGGACTCTCCTCACAGACACCAGCCCTGCAGCTGCCCCCTGCTACAAAACCAATAAGTAAGTCCAATACAACCTCCCACTCACAAAGTAAAAACAGAGCCCAGACAAGCAGCAGCAGACCCATGAGCTGGCAATGGCAAGGCACATCAAGGCCTTCTAGCAGAGGCAAACCCTGGGAGAACTGCTCTGAGTTTTTTTTGGCTCTGCCCTCCATGGATGAGATAAAACAAGGAGGGTTTTGGCAGGGGTTGAGGTTAGAAACCAGCCCAGGTGTTTGTACCAAACCCAACACACCCACACATATCCCAGAGCAACAGGGACTGCACTTCCACAGGCCACCTCTGCACACCTGTGCATTTCCCTACAGGACACATTGGGTGACACACACCTTGGACATTCCAGGACCAAGGGGCCTCTGCAGAGACACTGGAGCTTGGCTCAGGGCATATGATTACCCTGATCTGGGCTGGAAAGTTTCCCAAAGTACTCAGTGCAGTATTTCCAGCCTGTAGAATTCAAGTAATAGTCAAACAAGCTTTGAGAATATGGCCTGACACACACCTGTACAGCCATGGGCTTCCTGCTGCCTCCTCAGACCCTGAATCACAGCTGATCTCAGCAGAACATCCCCACCCATTGCCTCCTTGAGTCCTGTGACCTGACCACATCCATGTCATCTCACCTGCCTCCTCCAAGACCAAGGGATTGTTGCAGGACCTCTCAAGCCCTGCCCAGCCTCATGAGGTCAAACTGCTTCAGTTAGGTGTCTAGACCACAGGAATGCAGGATTTGGGGATTACGTGTTCAGGTTAGGGTTTAGGGATTAGATCTTGCCTTCCAGGGTTAGTGGTTGGGCAGAGTATCAGAGGGAGGCCTGTGTTTACTGCTTTGGTTTCTAGTCTGTGTGTAGTGTAGAGACTATGTTATTTGTTGGGATTTTCTTCAAGGCTCTGTTGAGGAATCATGTCATGGAATTCAGTGCAAAGGATGAAAGGTTGAGGAATAGGGTGAGAAATGAGCTAAGAGTTTATGGTAAGGCCTTATGGGTTTGGGACTTGGCTAACCAATGCCAGGTGAGGTTTGAGGTTAGTAGTGGATTCCTTGCAGAGAGAGGGATAGCATTTAGATGTAGGGGTAGGGCTTACGGTTACTGCTTAGAAATATTGCCAGGGCTTGACCTGGATGTTTTCCTAATAAGTGTTGCAGCTCAAAGTCTTACCTGAACCCCTCTCACCTCTTCCAGATCTTTCCTTTCTGTTAGCCAAACCCCTCTTGTCTCCACCAGATTTCTTACCTTCATTCTCCCAGCTCCCTGTTCTCACAAAATATGTCACCCTGTTGGGGGCAGCTTTCTGATGGCCTTTATGACCTCAGAGGCTCTGCCTCCCTGCTGTTGGCCAGACAGGTGCTGGGACACAAGTGACCTCACAGCCAGCATGCACAGGGCTGCAAGGAGCTGTTGTGCTCAGGAGGCCTCTTTCCAGCCTACTCAGGAGCACCAGGTGCATGCCCTTCACAGTCCCTCAGGTACACTGCCTGCCAACCAGCTCATGCTTCAGAAGTTCTACATGTCCAGACTCACGTTTCCACATGCAGCCTTTAGCAACTCCATTGCATCCTATAGGAAATGCCCACCCATGTGTGGAAATGTGATTCAAGAACTTTACAGTGGGGGTGCTGGTAGGGAGCCAGCTGTGTTAGAGACCCTGGCCTGTAGACAAAGGACTTCCCCACAGCAGCACAATGAGCAAGCAACAAGAGCAATCAGAACTCACAGCAACAGAAGGGCTCTGAAGGAGAGTGTGGGAGGTGAAAGAGAGCACCTCAGAACAGACCAAACCCTTGGGTTCCCTGGTAATGCTGCTGTACCAGGACTTTTCTCCCCTCCACCTGTGCACACAGCCAAGTGTCTCTGCAGTTCCACCACAGGTGTCTGAGGAAGGATCTCAGGCAAGAAAGTCACTGCAGGGTCCTTTCTTTTATTTAAATATACAGAGAGCCTGGCTCATTGTTTCCACCAAGTTTTGGAGTCACTCAAGCAGGCATATACTGAAATGAAGGGGAGGAAAAATGTTATGTCTTTGTGCCTTTGTAGACACAATCATAAGTAAGGCAAAACCAACCAAACAAACAAAACAGCAAGTCACACTCACAGAAAACAAACATTTGGGAATATAATGAGTAACATTGTAAGTGATATGCTGATGAAAACAGGCCATTTATTGCTTCTGACACACTCCAGTGATCACTTTCCACACTGCATCCTTGAGCTCCTGGTTCCTCATGCTGTAGATGACGGGGTTCACTGCTGGAGGCACCACCGAGTACAGAACTGCCAGCAAAAGATTTAGGGAGGAGGAGGACATGGAGGGGGGTTTCAGGTAGGCAAATGTGCCACTGCTGATGAACAGGGAGACCACAGCCAGGTGAGGGAGGCATGTGGAAAAGGCTTTGTGCCGTCCCTGTTGTGAGGGTATCTTCAGCACAGCCCTGAAGATCTGCACATAGGACAGCACAAGGAAAACAAAACACCCCGATGCTACAGTGACACTAAGCATAAGAAGCCCAACTTCTCTGAGGTAGGCATCTGAACAGGAGAGCTTGAGGATCTGGGGAATATCACAGAAGAACTGGTCCAGGGCATTGCCTTGGCAGAGGGGGAGGGAAAATGTATTGGCAGTGTGCAACACAGCATAGAGAAAAGTACAGCCCCAGACAGCTGCTGCCATGTTGACACAAGTTCTGCTGTCTATTATTGTCCTGTAGTGCAGGGGTTTGCAGATGGCAACATAGCGGTCATAGGCCATGATGGTGAGAAGATAAAACTCTGCTGAAAGAAAAAAGAAAAAGAAAAAAACTTGAGCAGCACAACCTGTGTAGGAAATGGCTGTGGTATCCCACAGGGAGTTGGCCATGGCTTTGGGAACAGTGGTGGTAATAGTGCCCAGGTCAATGAGGGCGAGGTTGAGGAGGAAGAAGTACATGGGGGTGTGGAGGTGGTGGTCGCAGACTACGGCGGTGAGGATGAGGCCGTTGCCCAGGAGGGCAGCTAGGTAGATGCCCAGGAAGAGTCCGAAGTGCAGGAGCTGCAGCTGGCGTGTGTCTGCAAATGCCAACAGGAGGAACTCTGTGGGGAAGCTGCTGTTGGACATTTGCTGCCTCAGAGCATGGATGGCTGTCATTGGTGGAAAAGACACAGAACAAGTTAGAGAAATTGCTCTCTGCAATACCTATAGCTATAGATTATGTTTCATCAAAACCTCCTCAGCAAGACAGACTACTACTTCCCTTTGAGGAAGATGTTCTCTTGCCTCTAGCACTCAGTTTTACTTCCTAAGTGTGTAGAGAAACCAGACAGATCCTGTGTGGGCTCAGCCAGAGTCAGTACTGCCCTACAGCGTCTGCTGAAAACCAGTGGGGATGGATTTCAGGTGCCCACTGGACACAGGTGTCTCAGTATTTTAGGTGCTGAGTACAACATCGAAAAATCTGTCAGAAAACAATGAAGTATATAGGTTATAGAGTGTGGAGGAAAACTGTGAGATTCCTCACAGACCTACAGATCTCTTTCAGTGGAATAATCTAACAGCCTAAGTGACTGACACAACCAGACAACTCCATTAGTGTTTTCCTGACTGCTCTTTAGGGCAGGAAAATGAAAGCAGAGACTCTAGAGAGTGCCTTCGATGCAGGTAGTGCACGAGTTGGTCCATCTTGTCAAGAATCACCCCCAGAGATGCCCTGGGGGTGCTGTAGAGCTGAGAGCTGCCTACCCCTGGAAGCAGCCTCTGGGCAACAGCAGGACCCTGCCCTGCCCTGCCAGGGGAGGGGGTATTTCTTCCACCCACAGCTTCTCCCTGAAGCACCCTGGGCAGCTCCCCCGGCAGGCTGAGTGCTGAGCCTGGCAGGCAGCAGAGGCCCTGTCCCAGCACACAGCTCCTGGGGCACAGCAGGGACCCTACTCTGCACCACAGCCCCGGGCACCCCAGACTGCAACCTGGCTGCAGCCAGCCCTGTGAGAAAGAAACATCATGTCCTGTCCTTCAGTTATTTATGGCTTTCAGTTTATGGATTTCAGTTAATCACTGTTCCGGAGCCTGACGTTCTCCTCTTATCCAAACATTAAGTGTCCTCCTGAAAGCTCCCATAGGTTGAGGGATTTGCCAGCAAATCTGGAGATGGCACCAGGAACAACAGCTGTGCTGCCCTGCAGCCACAGACTTACCCTGTTCAGGGCTGTGAAGATTTCTCCCACAGTGAGCTCTCAGCATCCCCCCTCCACACTGCCTTTAACATCCCCCTCCCTTCTCTCACTGCCCTTGTCCCCTGCAGGCAGTGCCCCCAGCCCTGCTGCTGTGCTGTGCAGAGGAGCTGCTCCTGGGCAGAGCTGTCTTTCTGCAGTGCTGTCCGCTTGCCAGGAGCTCCCCTTGGGCCCAGGAGCCCGGCCCAGCTCATCAGCACAGGGAGCTCTTGACAAGTACCCGGGCCTCCAGGGGAATCAACTTTGAAACAGACAAGTAATCACTCATATTCCCTCCTGCTGCTTAGGAAGGAAACTTTTCCAGCACTGTTATTCTTCATACAGAAAAACTATGAGGTCCAAGAATCACTTTTCCATGTCCTCGTTTTAGGCAGAACACCCAGGCAAGGACAGGGAGGGACCTGCCTTCCCCCTGCTGATGGAAGTGTTTCAGCTGAGTAAAACAAGGCATCTACTTCTTTATTTGCTGTCCAGAGGCTACAAGGGGGCTCAGCTTCCTCTCCCATTCCACACACAACCCACACGAGTTGGGATTCCTCTTGACCTGGTTCAGGTGGGCACAAACTAGGCAGCTGCATGTCAGCTGCCTGTCTGAGCTCACAGCATATTGAATGGCGACAGAGAGCAGAAGGGAGCTGTTCAGATGCAGACACTGGGTGACATTGGAGGTGCCAGGGTGACATTTGAGTGATGTTTCAAGTGACAAATTCCTCTGGGCCGTAAGCAGAGATTTTATTGATGCATGTCCATTATAATACAGCTCTAGCCATTGTTCAATAGCAAAGAAACGAAAGGCAAGCTATGACTTGGTTGCCATCACTGAAACATGGTGGGACCACTCCCATGACTGGAGTACTGCAATGTCTGACTGTAGGGTCTTCAGAAGGGACAGGCAGCACAGGAGTGGTGGCGTGGCTCTCTATATTAGAATGTGTTTTGATGTTGTGAAACTCGAGGCTGAGAATGATAATGTTGAGTCCCTGTGGAATAGGGTCAGCAGGAAGGCCAACAAGGCAGGCATCCTGGTGCGGATGTTTCATAGACTGTCAAACCATGACGGCTGAGGAATTCTACAGGCAGCTGGCAAAAGTTGCAAAATCATCAGCACTTGTTCTCATGGGGGACTTCAACTTCACAGATATATCCTGGAAATGCAATACAGCTCAGAGGAAGAAGTCCAGGAAGCTTCTGGAGAGTGTGGAACACAGCTTCCTGACGCAGTTGGTTAGTGAGCCTACCAGGGGAGGTGCCCCGTTAGACCTTCTCTTCACAAACAGAGAAGGATTGGTGGGAGATGTGGTAGCTGAGAGCTGTCTTGGGCAGAGTGACCACGAAACATTACAGTTCTCCATTCTTGGTGAAGTCAGGAGAGGGATCAGTAAAACCACGGTCTTGGACTTCCAGAGGGCAGACCTTGAGCTCTTCAGGACACTGGTTGGCAGAGTCCCTTGGGAGACAGTTCTGAAAGGCAGAGGAGTCCAGGAAAGCTGGGCACTCTTGAAGAAGGAAATCTTAAAGGCTCAGGAGCAGTCTGTCTCCACATGCCCAAAGATGAGCTGGAGTGGAAGAAGACTGGCTTGGCTGAACAGAGAGTTGAGGCTTGAACTTAGGAAGAAAAAGAGGGTTAAGGACATTTAAAAGGAGGGCAGGCCTTTCAGGAGGGCTTTCAGGATGTCATAAGGCTGTGCAGAGACAAAATTAGAAAGGCCAAAGCTCATCTGGAGCTCACTCTCGCTACTGCTGTTAAAGATAACAGAAAATGTTTTTATAAATACAGAAACACAAAAAGGAGGACTAAGGAGAATCTCCATCTTTTACTGGATGTGGGGGGAAACTTAGTGACAAGAGATGAGGAAAAGGCTGAGTTGCTTAATGCCTTCTTTGCCTGAGACTTTAGCAGCAAGTCCAGTTGTTCTCTAGATACCCAGTACCCAGAACTGGTAGAAGGAGATGTGGAGCAGAATGCGGCAATCATAATCCATGTGGAAATGGTTGGTGACCTGCTACAGCACTTAGATGTACACAAGTCGATGGGGCTGGATGGGATCCACCTGATGGTACTGAGAGAACTGGTGGAAGAGCTGACCAAGACATTTTCCATCATTTATCAGCAGTCCTGGCTATCAGAGGAGGTTCCAGTTGACTGGTGGCTAGCAAACATGACACCCATCTAAAAGTGGGCCGGAGGGTGGACCTGGGATTCTATAGGCCCGTCAGTCTGACCTTGGAGCTGGAGAAGCTCATGGAGCAGATTATCTTGAGTGTCATCACATGGCATTTGCAGGGTAACGAGTCAATCAGGCCCAGTCAGCATGGGTTTATGGAAGGCAGATCCTGCTTGACGAACCTGATTTCCTTCTGTGACAAAGTGACGTGCTTATTGGATGAGGGAAAGGCTGTGGATGTGGTCTACCTTGACTTCAGTGAGTCTTTTGACACTATTTCCCACAGCATTCTCCTGAAGAAACTGGCTGCTCTTGGCTTGCACTGGTGTATGCTTCACTGTGTTAGAAACTGGCTCGATAGCTGGGCCCAAAAAATCATGGTGAATGGAGGACTCCACTAGTTTCCAACAGTCAGAAACTTGTCACTAGTGGAGTCCTGCAGGGCTCTGTACTAGGGCCAGTTCTCTTCAATATCGTTATCAATGATCTCAATGAGGGGATTGAGTGCACCCTCAGTAAGTTTGCAGATGACACCAAGTTAGGTGCGTTTGTTGATCTGCTCAAGGGTAGGAAGGCTCTGCAGGAGGGTCTGGATAGGCTGGACTGATAGGCTGAGGTCAACTGGATGAAGTTCAACAAGGCCAAGTGCCGGGTCCTGCACCTGGAGCACAACAACCCTAAGCAGAGCTACAGGCTGGGAGATGAGTGGTTGGAGAGCTGCCAGGCAGAGAAGGACCTGGGAGTGATGGTGGACAGTCGGCTGAATATGAGCCAGCAGTGTGCTCAGGTGGCCAAGAAGGCCAACAGCATCCTGGCTTGTATAAGAAGCGGTGTGGCCAGCAGGACTAAGGAAGTGATTGTCCCCAGTCGGCTCTGGTGAGGCTGAACACTCGAGTACTGTGTTCAGTTTTGAGCCCCTCCCTACAAGAAGGACATGGAGGTACTCCAGCATGTCCAGAGAAGGGCAACCAAGCTGGTGAGGGGTCTGGAGAACAAGTCCTACGAGGAGCGGCTGAGGGAGCTGGGATTGTTTAGCCTGGAGCAGAGGAGGCTCAGGGGCGACCTTATTGCTCTCTACAGATACCTTAAAGGAGGCTGTAGAGAGGTGGGGGTTGGTCTATTCTCCCGCATGCCTGGTTACAAGTCAAAGGGGAATGGGCTTAAGTTGTGCCAGGGGAGTTTTAGGTTGGATGTTAGGAAGAACTTCTTTACCGAAAGGGTTGTTAGACATTGGAACAGGCTGCCCAGGGAAGTGGTGGAGTCACCATCCCTGGAAGTCTTTAAAAGACGTTTAGATGTCGAGCTTAGGGATATGGTTTAGTGGGGACTGTTAGCATTAGGTCAGAGGTTGGACTCGATGATCTTGAGCTCTCTTCCAACCTAGAAATTCTAGAAAATTCTAGAAATTCTGTGTGATAGATTGGTCACTTGTACCGGATACGCTTTGAAGGTCCCTTCAGACTGAACTATTCTGTTCCATTTGGTTCAATTCATTTTGATCCTTTTAAATTCTATTCTATAAACCTATACAGCCCCTAGCCTATGTCATGGTAGGGCAGTTGTCCACCTCAGAAACAGAAATGGGGTTTTGTCCTTGTTGGACATCATGGAGTTTCAATTAGCCTATCCCTCCAACAATGTTATTATTGGAAAAGGGAATACTGTGGGGGATTGTGTTGAATCCAGGTAAATGAGACCCACTTCTCTCCTTTCGCTCAGAGATGTG